AAGTCATTGTCAGAAATGCTGGTGTCAAAGGAGACACGTGTGTGTTTGTGTATGTGTATCTGTTTTAAGTGGAACAGGCTTTTAGAAATGTATGCTGTGGGGAAGAACTTGTAAAGAGGGAAGGGTAAAAAACTCAGGAAGAAAAAAGTGACTGATGGGGACGTGGGCACAGCCTGGGTTTACTTCACTTGGCCTGAGTCCCCATCCCTCCTCACCCACCACCCTGACATAGAGGACGGTTGCTCAGGGGTCCAGCAGTTCCTACCACTTTAAGGTGACACAAGAATTGATGTTTCCAATTCCAACAGGTTTAACACATACTCCATTTGTCTCATAGGAAACGGATCTTAATGAAAAGCTTACAATATGCAAAGAGGAGGATGAGAAAGGACTTCTTTGACTAGGAAAAGACCCTTACTGGTGGGGCTATGCCTATATTTGCATCTACTATTGGAGAACCTACAGCTAAATCAATTCCCTGTGCAATCATCAAAATCTGTCCTCATGACCTCGTCTCCCCATGACTGCTGTGCTCCTGTCCTAACCGCGCCCTCTGTGTTATACAGAACTGAAGAGGGCAGGCTGTTAGGGTGGAAAGCCTGGTAGGTGCTCACAGGGTGGGTGGAGAAAGATTTCTCACACAGAGATCGACATATAAAAGTAAATTTATTTTGTCCTTTAGAAGGACAGAGAGAATGAGGGGGGGGGGAAGATGAGGGGATGGGGAGAGAGACGGAGTGGCATCCCGAAGAAAGAGAAAAGGGTGTCAGGAGCAAGGCCAAGTGTCTTGCTGCTTTTAAGGGGAACGAAGAGAAGACAAAAAATAGTGATGGCTGTCAGTTGATAACAAAATTGGCAGCAGGCAGATAACAAAAACTGCAAGGATATCAAAGTCCAAGACTTGGTTTCCTGCCTTTCCTTGGAGAAGGGATTATCACAGATATTACTCTGCCCTTGAGATATGGTTGAGGCTGTAGCTCATTCTTCTGCTGTTTGTTTACTCAGGAATTCTGTGAGAGCAGCTTCTTAAAAAAACAATTTTGAAAGAAATTTTCCTTCCGTTCGGCTCTTTACAGAAGTTGTGCAAAACAGAACTCCTGCAGGGTACCTGTTAGTAAGAGAACTCACAGGATTGATCATTAACTGTTACTGGGGAAATTACTGAGGGATTAGGTATTTTCCTGTTATTTTTGCAAGGCCGCCCCTTTCACAGATGTTATTGGCTTTGGATACTGACTTTAAAATTCCTTCAATAGTGACTATTGCTCCATGATACAGAAGAGATTTTTTTCAAAAGAAAAAAAAAAAGAAAAAGCAAAAATATCCATTATTACTTGGTAAGAAGGTGAAGATATGTAACTATTGCTCTAAAGTAGAAAAGAATTCAATAGTCTTTTTAAGTGAGAATTTCTTTTTATTTTATATTATTTCATTGCATTTTTTTAGATACAGGTTCTCATTCTGTCACACAGGCTAGAGTGCAGTGGCATGATCATAGCTCACTGCAACCTCAAACTCCTGGGCTCAAGTGATCCTCCCGCATCAGCCTCCTGAATATCTAGGAATATAGGTATGCACCACCACACCTGGGTGATTTTTCTTTTTGTAGTGATAGGGGTCTCACTATATTATCCAGTCTAGTCTCAAATTCCTGGCCTCAAGTGATCCTCCCACCTTAGCCTCCCAAAGTGCTGGAGTTACAGACATAAGCTACCACACCTGGCTTTAATTGGGAATTTCTCGAACTGAAGGGTATGGACAAATTTGGAATGGCTTTCAGTGCAATTTCATTTTACTCCTAAGAAAACTAAAGAACTCGTTAACTGTCGCTTTCACGTGGTAGTAATGCCGAACTATACATAATTTCAACTGTTTCTTAGAACAGTAGTTCTGCAGGATGCCTTATGTTTGTTTGTTTTTTAACTCAACCTGAGTTATTCCACTTTTATCTGTTATATTTTGGTGCTCCATAAACATTTACTTTTGTAGAGCATGTTCCTCTGATTAAAAAAAAAAGGATTTTGAAAAGCACTTATCTAAATAAGAAATACAATGCATTTATAAATATTTAACTTGGCTAGGCAGGGTGGCCCAAGCCTGTATTCCCAGCACGCTGGGAGGCTGAGGCATGAGGATTATTTGAGGTCAGGAGTTTGAGACCAGCCTGAGCAAGAGCGAGACACTGTCTGTACTAAAAATAGAAAAATTAGCTGGGCATCGTGGTGTGTTCCTATAGTCCCAGCTACTCTGGAGGCTGAGGCAGGAGGATCTCTTTAGCCCAGGAGTTTGAGGTTGCTGTGAGCTATGATGACGCCATAGCACTCTCTACTCAGGGCAATGGAGTGAGACCCTGTCTCAAACAAACAAACAAAAAAATAAATATTTAACTTACAATATAGTAAATAAAATATATATTTGAAATAGGTAATGCATTTTTTATTTCAGAACTATTATCTACAATTGAAATAAGTGTTAGAACACAAGTATTCAAGAATGCTTTTTTCCTTTCCTTTTTAAATCTACATCCTACAGCCAAGGGTTTTTTTTTTAAAAGTTCAGCATCCTGTTAGTGGCTGCTTTTTAGCTTCGAGGTATATATACTAAGCCAGTGGTTCCCAACCTTTTTGATACTAGGGACTGTTTTCGTGGAAGACAATTTTTCCACGGACCGGGGAGGGAGGGGATGGTTTTAAGATGATTCAACTGAATTACATTTATTGTGAACTTTATTTCTATTATTATTACATTGTAATATATAATGAAACAATTATACAACTCACCATAAATTGGGGACCTCTGCAGTAAGCCTCAAACTTCAGTAGGTGTAATAGGTTTTGGAACTATTTGTTGCACCTAATTAAGAGCCTTCTATGAACCGGGCACTGTGCAGAACCCCGTGGGAATAAAGAGGCGTCTGAGAACTTCGGATTGCCACAGTCTGGTAGAAGAGAGTCACTTCAGTCCGTGATCAGCATTTACACAAATCTTGTAGCAGCAGCACGGAAAGGGACATCTACTTCAAGATATTGTGAAAAATGCATTGAAGAAAAGAAAATATGGCGATGAAATGGTCTTCCCACTTGAAGTCCTAGCTCAACCGCTAAGGCACTAGGATCAACTCAGGCCACCAGGTCAGCTGCCCTCTAAATTGTCTGGAAAAATCTGCAGAGGCCGCACCCAAGCGGGCAGCTGTGTGCTTTGTTGGCTGGTTCTACTCCGGCTTCATTCAGTTTCCATCCTGAAAAGGAGGAGCCTAAATTCCAACCATTAACTGCCATTATTTGCCTATCTCCAAAGTCCTTAGGTCAAATCCTGACCCAGCCAGTACTTCCAGTCTTTGGGAGCGTAAGAATTACCCGGAGGGCTTGCTGAAGCGGTTTCTTCCCCGCACCCTCAAGGATAAGATTAAGGAGGTATGGGGTGGGGCCTCATAATTTAAACTTCCAATCAGTTCTTCTAAACTGGACCTGAGCATTTGTAGACAACATTTTGAATATATCATATTACTAAATTAAACGGACCGTGGGCCCCCTAGGTCGTCAGACAAACGGACCGAACCATTCCTGGGGCAGAAAAGGTCCGCGGTAAAGACACTTGGATCTCAGCGCTGCCGTGCTGTTTGTGAAGGGCAATTTCCCTCAGCTGCTCTGGCTCTTTAAAGTGACCCACGGAAACATCTGCTTTATCTTTTGCCACTTCCTGCCTCCAACACATGCTCCAGCAATTCCCAAGTGCTTACAGTTCTTCCTCCTTCATTCGTTATTCCATTACTTGTCTTAATTCATTAATTTATTTTTTTGAGACAGAGTCTCGCTCTATCGCCTTGGGTAGAGCGCGGTGGCGTCACTGCAGCTCACTACAGCCTCAAGCGATCCTCCTGCCTCAGCCTCCCGAGTAGCTGGGACCACAGGCGCTTGCCACGATGCCCGGCTAATTTTTCTATTTTAAATAGAGACGTGGTCTCACTCTTGCTCAGCCTGGTTCCCAACCAACTCCAGAGCTCAAGCAATCCTTCCGCCTCGGCCTCCCGGAGTGCTAGGATTACAGGCGTGAGCCGCCGAGCAGGCCCTGTCTTATGTTTTGACTCTTGCTGCTTCTATTCTGAATAGCCTAACCCTTCTCTTCTATCCAGCTCAATAATGCAGGCTAAATATTTGTAGTTAGAACTAGATCTAAGAGAGATGTTACCCAACCCCCACAATTTAAATCTAGGGTCTCCTAGTGAGTGACACACCCACGGGCACGAATCAGTTATCTTTCTCTAAAACCCTCTTCCAGTTTTCTCCTAAATATCAAGTTAAAGAAATAAAGACAAAAATCTAATTTATTTTTTTTTTTGAGACACAGTCTGTGTTGCTGAGGCTAGAGTGCAGTGGCGTCATCATAGTTCACAGCAACCTCAAACTCCAGGGCTCAAGGGTTCCTTGGAGTCAGCCTCCTGAGTAGCTGAACTACAGGAGCACGCCACCATACCCGCAGGTAATTTTTCTTTTTCTTTTTTGTAGAGACAGAGTCTGCTCTTGCTCAGGCTTGGTCTTGAACTCTTTAACTCAAGCAATCCTCCCGCCTTGGCCCTCCTAAGTGCTAGGATTCCAGGTGTTAGCCACCACACCTGGCCAAAAATCTAATTTTAAAAAAGTATTTGAAATGATCTAATTACTCAATAATTCAACTGTTACCTTATGGACAAGAGAGAGTGTAAAATAGATAAAGTTATCATGTTGTCAGATCAGGAGGGAGGGGGAAAAAGAGGAGGGAAGGAAAACAAAGGTCATCTGGGTAACAGGAAGTAGAGGGAGACATTTGCTTTTAAAAGGAGAAATCAAGCTAGAAATTCTTAGATTAAAAGAAGTAAATTGGCCCTGGGTGCTGTGTCTCGCGGCCGGCCGGCGCACCGCAGGGTCATCTGCAAAAAAAAAGAGAGAGAGAAAAAGAAAAAGAAGTAAACTGCACATGTCCTGAACATTGCTGGCTTCGCTTTCCCCTAGGTGTTGCTGAAAATGACAGACTCGAATTATGAAAGCAGCAAGAAGGTAAGTTTTGTTCTAATAGAATTAATTTTGTCACAGAGTCGCTGTTCAAAGTCTCTGTAGGTCTTGCTCATTTCCTTTTTGCCATGAATCTTAATTTCCAGCTGTAGGAAACCTGCATCTGGAGCCACCTCTTCTTTGCAAATGGATTGTTACTTTTCTTTCATGTGACTGTGGCTCCGTGTATATTTGGGTGACAGTAGAAAGAAGTAAAATTTCTTGTTCCTAGTCCAAAGGAAAAGATTGATTTTGTAGGAAAGACAAGAAGTGCCATAGCTGGACAACATTAAAGTGATTTTAAAAAAAAAAAGGAAAGCTAAGATAAAAAGAAAGTAGAATAGGGTAATGTGGATAAAGGCAGAAAGTAAAGTGGCCAATTGTTTTATTTTCCTCCAGGAGTAATAAGTAATCTACTCCCAATGGCCTTGGATACTGAATGAGTTTCGAGACTAGGTTTGGGTTGTCCTGGGCCATACGAGAAACTAGATAGAGAAGACATCTTAGCGTATTTACAGGGACCACTGTACCAGGCTAGAGGACTGAATTAGCCAATATTAGGTATATGATTGCAGGCAAGTCACACAGCTACTCTGAGCCCCGACTTATTTCTGTGATGGAGTAATGTTCGCCAAGTAATGTTTTTCTGAAGCTGACAAGAGCGAAAGTGAGGGGAGTGGTTTGAGAAAGTGGTATACAAATGCAAAAGTCGTGATATGCAAACGAAGAGTAAGATAAGAGTAGTAGAAAGTCCTTGAAGAGATTAAATTGGGGAAGGGGGAGGGGCATGACGGCAGCTCTAGTGGGGAGTATTACAGTAGGGCTGGAATAGAGTTTATTCACCCTTGGATTTGAGAAGAAAAGCTAACCAGAACCGTATGCACTGAAGCTTGTGTTACTCCATGGCATTATTCATTTAATTTCTGAGACTCAATTTCCTCGTTTGTAAAACAAACTAAAAAATGTCTACAAGAGACATACTGTGAGAATTAAGTCAGTCCTTTCCTACTTACCTGCTTTTCCCCTTTAACTTCCCTTCTTTAGATCATAAAAACAACAGGAAATGCCTATTGTGTTGGGCGCTTTGTTAGTTTCGGTGAATGCTACAAAGGACAAAACAGATACATGCTCTCCCCTCAGGTCTGGGAGCTGAAATAAGCCCCTTGTGGCTGAAGCTCGGAAAGCTTGGGGTCTTGAGCTGGACAGGCAGGCAGGTAGGCAGGGGCCAGGCTGTTGAGGCAATTATACACAGATTTGTGGGCTGCTCTGAATTTCGTCTTTAACCTGAACAGCAAAAATAAGCCATCGAAAGAGTTTTTGACAAGCAGGACAGCCATCTGTGCAGAAAGAACAGTCAGAACGGATTTGGGGCTAACAGGAGGTTATTGCTGGTGCCAGTGAAATTTAATAAGTTGAATCTGGGAATCTTGGGTGTGACAGAAGATGGAAAGGCAGGAACACATTCCACTCAGATTTAGGAGACACAGTGAAAGTGTTTGGTGTTTTGGCTGATGGAGAGGAAAGTTCTGAGGAACATAATTCTTCCAACCCAAGCCCTACTCTTTTATTTTCTCTTTCATTGTCACCCACCTGTAAATTGGCTTTTGCCCATTTTCTCATTGTTTCCCTTACTTGATTAAGGATCTGTCAATCAGTATCACATTTAAGGAATCTCAGAACTCTTCTCTCCATCCGTCTATTGTCCTCTCAGTTTCTTATTCATTAGTTGTGCCTTGAAAGTAAGCAGTTTAGTTGTATGATATTAAATAAGAATCAGTGCCTGACTCTTTTCTTTCCAGAATTTCTCTGAGGAGGAAATAGATGATGAGGAAAGTGTGATTTTGACATTGGTTCCATTTGACGAATCAAATATAGAACAACAATTGGAGTCAACTGTTTCTTCAACTTCTGACGTCAAACCGAACAAGCCTGGGAAACACTGTGAAGGTATGAGGACAGAGATTGCTTAGTTAGCTACTCCTACAACTCTGGGAAGACCAGGAAAAGTAAGATTTTTCTTCTGTATCCTCTGACTGTACACTCAGCTTAAATCTCACCTTGACAGCCTTGGGTAAGAGACTTCTCAAACTCCGTTACTTCTTATCTGCTAAACCAGCCCCATGTACTGCCTTGCTTTTAAAACACTAAATAAGGCCGGGCAGCATGGCTCACATCTGTAATCTCAGCACTTTGGGAGGCCAACACAGGAGAATTGCTTTAGGCCAGGAATTCAAGACCAGCCTGGGCAACATAGCAAGACCCCATCTCTAAAAAAAATTAGCCAGGCATGCTGGTGCATACCTGTAGTCTCAGCTACTCTGGAGGCTGAGGTGGGAGGATCACTGGAGCTCAGGAGTTAGAGGCTGCAATGAGCTATGATTGTACAACTGTATTCAAGCCTGGGTAACAGAGCCAAGACTGTCTCTAGAAAAAAAAGATACAAAGTAGGCATGTGGAACACTTTGGACAGAGCAGGCTCTTATGGGGCAGCTAGACATGAGTTCAAATTCCCGACACATGAAACTTAATCTCTTCTATAAAAATGAGGCTAATACATGCTTGCCTCTTACGAAAATTTAAATAATTTTGGTAAGCATCTAGTATTTTGCTTGGCAAGTAATTACTGATCAAATATATAGCAGCTCTTAAAATCATGACCCTTTGGATCTATTCTCAGTGCTTCATATAAAGGCATCAAATAAGTATTTTCAGAATGATTTTATTTTCTGGGCCAATATTGAGGATTTTAAGGTGAAGTGAATAGTGATGGGTTAGAGCTAAGCAGAGTGAGGTGAGATGGAGTGCTGCAGAGAAAAATGAGGCAGGCTGACAGAAGGGTGGACCATTGTTGATTGGGGGTAGGGTTAGTGGTGGTTTCTTTGATTTCTGTAGGGAGAGCTGATATTTTTTTGGTACAAAATCTAGACATTTTGGAGGAGAAATTCATTATAATCTATTTAGTTGGTTGTTGAAGGCCACAAAAAATAGGCTGCTGTACGCAGTATAAAAAAACATCTAGAATTTAGAATCTAGAATTCTAGAATTTAGAATCTAAATGTAGGTTCGAGACCCAGGTCTGCCATTTTTATGGCTGTGTGATTTTGGGCAACTCCTTAAATTCCTGAATCTGTTACCTCATTTGTAATAGGAAAAATAAAAATTGATATGTGTGTGTGCAAGTTGGGTTGTGGGAAAAGCAAAAAGGTCTTTGTAAAATTGTAAAAGAATCTTACAGACTTTAAATTATTCCTACTTTTGTTCTATTCTTTTCTCAGGTCATCTACCTCCAACAAATGAACAACTCAAAGCTCCCCCAAAAGCTAGACGTAAAGCGCCAATTCTTCCTTTGCCAACCATTTTGCCTCCCATTAATAATGTGTGTCGAGACACTTTGCGGAACTGGTGCCAACAACTCAATTTGAGTACTGATGGCAAGGTTAGTAACACTGGTGAGAACCTCTGCTGCTTGGATTGAGTATGGGAACCTTTGTCAGCTTTTAATGTTTATTTCCCTCTTAATTTCCTAAGAAAATAGAAGTTTTTCAGAGGCTTCAACAGCATGCTTATCCTGAACAGAAATATGTGAGTAATGGGTATGTTGATGGTGTGAGGGCGGGTTCTGAGCTTGAGTCATCTCTACTCTTCCACCGTCTCTACACACCGTGTACCTCTAAGATAGAGTTTCTTAACTGTGGCACTACTGACATTTTGGGCCAAATAAATTTTTCGTTTTAGGGGCTGCCCTGTGCATCCCTAGCCTCTACCCACTAGATGTCAGTAGCAACCTCTCTCTCCTCCCCCTCAACCCAACCCCCCCGACCCTGAGCCCCCAGTTTTGAAAACCAAAAACCTCTCCTAATTGAGAACCACTGCTCTAAGACAACTAATATTCCCAAACCCTTCCCACATTGA